ATGGCTGGAAGGTCACTTGTGGCCATGTTTGGGAAAGGAGGAAAAACTGAATGGGACAGAAGCTTCTTCGTCATGTAAACAGGAACAGGCCGAGCCAGCCTTCTGCTCCAGTTCCGGTGGGCTGGCAGCCCGCACACTCCGAGGATGAGTCACTGACAGGAGCCGCCACGGTTCTGGAGCTCGGGCGGCGCCAGCCCCAGGGCACACAGTAGCTGCAGAGTTTAATGGTGGGATTCAGGCGCTAGGTGACAGGAGTGGGATCACGGTGCTTCCACATGCCCCAGGTAAAATCTGAAGGCTATTTGCTTGCAGGCCTTACCCAGGGTCCCTAGAGCTTTGGCCCAGGATACCGAGCGCCTGCCTTCCAGGGCTTCTTCCTGCCACGCTGTGTAGCCTTTGAGGAGCCGTTAACCCCGTGGGTCGGGGGGTCAGGCACAAATGCTGCACCACCCCCACCCCCACCCCCACCCCCTGCAGCTGGGTAGTGTTCGGGATTCCCCCAGACCCAGAGACTTCCTCCCTCCCTCCTTCCCAGGCTCTCACCACCTCCCTCCTTTGCTACAGTGAGCCCTCCTGATAAGCAATATGGCAAAATGGAAAGATCACTGTGTGTCCGGAAGCCTTGGGTTGGAATCCCAGGTCTTCGCTTACTTGGGCAAGCCATTTGGCCTCTCTAAGCCTCACTTGCGCGCCTGGAAAATCCCCTTCACCCTGCGCAAGAGGCAAGCCCAGGAGGAGCCCGGCGTTACATCGTTGTCAGCAAGCTGCCTCTGAGTCAGGGTTTCATGCGTGGCAAAGCAGCTTCCTCGCTGTGAACTATTGAAAAGCCAGCCTTTGACACAAGCAGCCGCCTCTCACCCACAAAACGACAAAACGGGGCTGATGATGCTGATGTCTACCTCACAGGGCTGCCGAGGGAAGCAAACGCAACTGCGTGTGCAGAAGCACTTTGGCAAGTGCGCAGACCCTGCCCGGGGAGGTGGTGGGACCATTCCCACAACAAGATAGCCAGTGGCAGGATGGGCAGGGCAAGGATGGGAGCTGACATAATCTCAAGGAGCTGGACCAGAAGCCTAAAGGACAAATGGGGCCAGGATCACGGTGGTGCCTGCAGGTGGAGACTGTTTCGTTCACTGTTGTGTTCCCAGAGCCTGGCCCAGGGCTCGGCAGAGTGTATGGTTGGTGCTCAATCAGTGTGTGTTGGACTCGTGCCTGAATGAACAGAGAGGAAAAGAGAGACCACAGGGCACCTGGCAGTCCTGAGAGCCAGATGAATCCAACTGGTGGGTATTCACTGAGCGCCTGGGAGATGCTTACCTTTCAGAGCAGGGTTTACTGAGAAATTGTTCTGAGCAGAACACAGACGTTTAATTCAGAAGATATGTTTTCAAAAACACAGTATATATTCTGCATGTCATTTCGGAGGGGATCCACAGACGTCAAGTTAAGCACCTGTGATCTCGGGGGTGGGGAGCAGAGGTGTGTGATAGAAAGCAGTGGAAGTAGGGGAGCTGGAGAACAGGCTTGGGAACAGACTCTCTTTTCGTCTCTGTTCATTCAGGCATGAGTCCAACACACACTGATTGAGCACCAACTGTATACTTTGCCGAGCCCTGGGCTGGGCTCTGGGGACACAGCAGTGAACAATGAAAAAAAAAAAAATCACCTCTCATCTCCCCCTCCTCCAAAGAACTGTTAACATCTGGCTTCTGTTCTTCCCATTAACCATGTCCAACATTTATTAAGCACTTACTGTATGCCAGGAGTTAGCCATGCCGCATGCTTCACAAGCAGTATCTCACATTAACTTCTCATCTTACGATGGGCATTTACCACCTTTTTATACACACGTTTATACTTTCCTAATTTTTAAGGCCAAGGAGATTATACTCTTTTGTCACCTTGCCTTTCTCTATACCATCAAAATTTCCCTCCATGATATTAAATATTCGTTTACTGAGTCTTTTATAATAGCAGCATGATGTTTTATCGCAGGCAGGTTCCACGCTCCTCAGACTGGGGTGTGTGTACCCCTGAGGGCAAAGTCACAGGATAAATCGTAGCGCATTTTCCTGAAGGAGAAATTTGACTTGAAGCTTTGGGAGGGGAAAAAGCCCATTATTTTAATATCAAAACAAGTACAGATACCCATAGCATAGAACCGAGAGCACCCATGAATTAAAAAAAAACAAAGCAGCAAGATCCAAAATCATGTGAGCTTGCTGTTATTCTCCTAAAGACCCACGTCCCCTCTTCTGTGAGGATGGCAGAAACATCTGAGAAGCACCAAGTTCTAGTTCAAGCCCCTCTTTTTACAGAGAAGGAGACTGAGACCCAGGGAGAAGGGGGGATTGCCCAAGGTCCACAGTGTGTGCATTGCAGAGCCAAGCCAGGTAACCTCTGGGCCCTGGACCCCTCCCACCCTTCCAAATTTGGCATCACCCTTTGACTGCATTTTCTGAGGGCGTGGGTGGAGACCTTGCCACTTGAGCAATCAAGCCTCTGTGTCTCAATCATGGAAACTTCTGGCTTCCTGCAGGATCCATCCTTGGCAGCATCTTTTTCTTTTTCACCTTGCTGGCCAGGATCTGAGCTGTGTGCTCATGTAGGTAATAGGGCCCTACATAGGCAAAAGTGGGTAACCTTAAAAAGTGACTCCCCGGGGTGCCTGGGTGGCTCAGTCATTAAGCGTCTGGCCTTCAGCTCCGGTCATGGTCCCAGGGTCCTGGGATCGAGCCCCACATCGGGCTACCTTCCAGGTGGGAAGCCTGCTTCTCCCTCTCTCACTCCCCGTGCTTGTGTTCCGTCTCTTGCTGTGTCTCTCTGTCAAAAAAAAAAAAAAAAAAAAGTGACTCCCCCAGCACTTGGATTTTCCACTGAATGCAGTGGATTATGGGCATGTATCCACTGGTCTGTCTCCCCTATGAGGCTGGGAGCCTTCTGGAGGCAGGAATTATGTGCTAACATTATTGACATTTATTGAGCACCTACTAGATGCCAGGTGCCATGTTGAGTGTTTCATTTATAGTATTTACAATCTTCATCACAGCTTTTCAAGGAATGTATGATCATCCCCAGTTATCTGGTAAGAAAACTGAGTGACTGGTTAATACTGGCCTACCATCATGCACTCATTTGGTATAAATATTTATCACAGACTTACATGTCAGGACTTTGCTAGATGCTGTGGACAGTCATGATGAACAAAATGGACTCCACTCCTGCCCTCATGGAAATTACAGACAAGTGAGAGAGGTGATATTCAAGAAATAATTTTACAAACCACAGCCAGAGCCCATCTGTCTGCCTCGGTTTGAACCCACCTCGATGACTTCTTAGCTAACCGACCAGGGGAGAATCTTGTACCCTCCCTGTACCTCATCTTCCTCTTCTATAAAATGACGATAATTGTCGTACTGACTTCATAGGAGTACTGTGCAGAGGGAAGACATTCACATGTATAAAGCGCTCAGAGCAGGGCCTCCCACATTCCAGATGTATTGTTGCTGCTGTTGGTATGGAGAAGCAGGTGGTGCTAGGCAAATGTGACAGGAGGACCGACTTCAGGTGACATCTGATGTGAGTTCTATAAGGTGAAGAGGAGTTAACTTGGCGGGGTGGGGAGGGGTTGGGCAGGGGAGCAGGAGGTTGGAGGGTTCCAGGCAGAGGGAATAGCAGGTGCAAAGCACGGGGGGTGGGGGTGCGCAGAGCAAGTAGGTGAGCTCACCTGAGGAACTGCGAGGAGTATGGCTGGATCACATTATGTGGGGAGCCACACCAGGTCAGCATCTAGGAGGAAGAACCTGAGATACACATAGAGCTGTCACCAGGACCTGGGCCCATTGCACCGCACTGGTGATCCAGGCCATGGAAGATGCTCAGTAAATGTTTGTCCAGTGGGCAAGCAAGCTCGTGGACAAAACACTGTTGGCCTCAGGTGGTCTTGGCTATGGGTGTTCTGTTGTCACCCAACTAGGAGAGGAGTCCATTGTCCCATTTACACAGTGCTGTGGGGACAGCCCCATCCCACTGTCAAGCTGTTAACACATCCATTTTGCTAGCCCCTCTCTTCTTGGCAGTAGGGTCAACCATACGGGTTCTGATGGGGGTCGTCCAACACCGGGCACTCACCAAAGTGGAGGCCGATAGAATCCCTACGGCCAGGGCCTCAGATCTAAGCCAGTGGTGTTCACACATTTTTACTCGTGGAACCCTGTGTTGACATAATCTGAGAAGGAACTCAGGGTATGGAACGGGGACAAGCAGAGGTTTCACACCTAGGACTCAAAGCTCTTGGTAACACCCAGTGTGCCTGAGAAAGCACCAGGGCTCCAGGAAGCAGTATGGAAACCAAGGGTCGAGCTGAACGTCTGTTTCCCAGGTGTGGAAACTGAAGCCCAGAGAGGGGGTGGCTCTCCCATGGTCACACAACTAGGGACAGACCCAGAACTAGATCGAGACATTAGACACCAAGATTTCCCTCCACACCACCCTAACCGCCCCCGCAGTGTGGCGCCTTGAGGCGGGGAAGGGGCACGTGGCTGGGATCTTGTCCAGGGTCCAACCTCTGGCCCCAGTGAAGGCACAGACTACAAGAGACAAAAATCTGGAAGGCAGGCGTGGGAGGGCTGTTCGGGGTCACGGCCTGGTTGTGCCGTGTCTTCCCCACCCCCTCTTAATTGAGTTTGAGGTGGTTTTTTGTTTCCTTAAGAAATGGAAAAGAATTGAAACTGCGTAAACACAGCGATGTTAACTCCCTGAAAAACCTCCTGCCATTTTAACTCTGTTACTGGAGAAATAAAAGAGAAATAATTTGTCCACCCACACTTAGCTCTTTCTGACGAAGGTAGGTGAATATTGCTTTGCTAATCGAGGGTGACGGCTGGAAGTGGAGCCGCGCTGACTGATCCCAGACTGAGAAGCCACAGCTACCCCAGAAGGAGCGGCCCGCCGCGGCTCGCCGGGGCCCGAGTCACCAGGCGTGTGTCCGCCTTCCACAGGTCCCCCCCAGCCGGTAGTGATGGAGGCGCTGGACCAGGCCGAAGGGCTCGTGGACGCGCCGAGAGAGATGCCACCGCCCCCACCACCTCCACCGCCCTCAGAGCCTGCTCAGAAGCCGCCACCTCGCGGCGCCGGGAGCCACTCCCTCACTGTCAGGAGCAGCCTGTGCCTGTTGGCTGCCTCCCAGTTCCTGGTAAGGCGATCTCAGGCCTCAGAAGGGTCTGCAGAGAGGGCAGGTGGAGGGACAGCCCGCCACGCCCTCCCCAAGGTGGCCACCCGGGGATCGTGGGGGATGAGGGGCCTTCTTGGTGCCCCTCGGTGCCTCGAAGCTCTCGGGCCGGTGTGCAGAGGAGGCTGGAGTCCTCAGCTACAGAGCTAAGACCCTCGCAGCCTGGCCTTCCCTAACGCAAGAAGCAGGAACTTAGGCCTCCCCAGCAGCCAGGCCTGCAGGGGCCTCTCTGAGGACTTCCCATCTATGGAGATATCTCGGGGGAAACTTTTCCTTTTATGTATGTGCCTGGTGGGGTCGGGGAAGTCCCCTTGGGAAGGGCTTCATCTTGGATCCCTCCAGTCAGCTTTTCTGCAGGGAGAGTCCTGAGGCCTTCGTGCACACAGTACCTGGGCTCTTCCCTCAGCCGTGCAGTCTGGACCTTGGGGGGCTAGGTTGAGGCTGCAGGTGAGCTCTGCAGGGGGAACGGGAGCAAGGAGCCCAGGCTCCAAACTCAGTCCGCTCCCCCGGCTGCCCCAGCTTGCCTGCGGGGTGCTCTGGCTCAGCGGTTATGGGCCCGTCTGGTCACAGAATGCCACAGACCTCATCTCCTCCTTGCTCACACTTCTGGAACAGCTGGGACCCATGGTGAGTAAGCTCCAGGGAGCTCCCAGGGAGGAGGGAGCGACTGGGGGCCTCCAGTGTCCCCAACCCCTGGATGGGGCTTCTCTGAGTTCAGAAGATACTTCCACAGCCTTGAAACCCTTCTCCCTGCTCCCCACCCACTCCTGCTTGGCGGCTTTCAAAGCCTCAGTTTTGTCACCGCAGGAATGGATAAGAACTGTGTCCCCACCCCTCCCCCAACTTGTTTGTCTCATGTTCCCCAGGCCTGGCTGGGTGTTGGGACCTGGGAAGTCCCCAGTCTGCTGCTGGTTACTCTGTCTGTGATCCTCATTACCACCCTGGTAAGGTGCCTCCTGACCTGACCTCAGTGCTCCCCTCCTCTGACCCTGAGGCCCAGGCCCCACCAGCTCCCATTTTATCTCCAAGCTAGATGTTTCAGGTAGGGGCAAGGACAGGGTGTCTGTCTCCTTCCACCAGTGTGCCCAGCCCGGGATGAGGGGCACCTTCTTCTTGAAAATGGGTTTGCAGTGTTCTAGGCTGAGGGAAGGACTAAGGCCCGAGAAGACTAGGGTAGGAGCCCCACACCCCACCAAGAAGACCCTCAGCCCACAAGAAACTGAGGGTTGACAGGGGAGGGGGCTGGGGGTAAGGTGGGGGCTGGAACCTCCCATCTAGGTGAAGGGTAGTGCCATGCGGACTGCTCCCAGGAGGGCAGGGCTGTTTTAGGCTCACTGAGGGTAGGGGGCTCAATCTCATGGATACCCCATCACTCAGGGGCTAGCCGACATGGTCCCAGGTCCATGATACTGTATCTTCCCAACTAGGCGTGGCACCTCCTGAGGGCTCCTCCAGAGCCACACACCGCAGTGCCTCCTGAGGATAGGCGCCAGTCAGTGAGCCGCCAGCCCTCCTTCACCTACTCAGAGTGGATGGAAGAGAAGGTCGAGGATGACTTCCTGGACCTGGACCCCGTCCCTGAGACTCCTGTGTTTGACTGCGTGATGGACATCAAGCCTGAGGCTGACCCTGCCTCACTGACTGTCAAGTCCATGGGTCTACAGGAAAGGTGGGAAGGGTGGAGGAGGGGTGGGCTGTGTGGGCTCTTGAGCTCTCAGCTCCCCGCCAGAAGGGCAGGTGCCTGACTCTGACTCCAGTGGCCAGGACAGAGCCAGCCTTGTGGTTTAGCCAGTGTAGACATACACGCTCCTCAGGTCTGATTCACATAGATCAGAATGCCCCAGGATAAATACCGTTACTGCACACGACCACACAGGCATACACAGGTATACATGTGTGCACACTCATACAAAAACTCCTATACTCAAGTTAGTTTGGGTAGGTGCCTTTACTACAGGACTTGTCAGGGCCTTTAACATGCTTGTGTTCATTGTAAATCAGCAAGGGAGTAGCATGTGGCATTCCTCAAAGTCTCTTGACCCCAGAACCCTACTTTTATAGAGTGTCCCATAGGGTTCCCGAGAGCATTCTTTGAGAGGTGTCAGCACCTTCTTTCCAGAGCCCCGTTGGGTAAGCCAGATCACACCAGGTTTGCATTACCTACATAATGTGGAAGAAGCACTAAATGAGGAGTCAGAAAACCTAGCTTTTCGTCCCAGCTCTGCCATCGTCTTACTGCGTGAGCTTGGGCAATTCTTGTCCTCTCTCTGGGACTCAGTTTCCCTTCCTATATAATGAGGGCTTTTCAACTGTCCTGTGCCTTAGACACTGAATACGGTAGAGCTTGTCTAGTGCAGACATCTTTGCAATTGGTGAGCTGCCCGGGACTCCCCCTTCCCCTGATAGCCGAGGGACCTGGCCTCTGCTGGGTGAGATGTCCATGACTCCTTGGCAGCCTCACCCAGGACTCATGGGGCCAAGGCCGTGATGAACAGGGTAGAGCCCTGCTTCTCTGCTCTAGGCAGGTGCCCCGTCTCATGACTTCCTGGGGCCACAGGGCTGGGAGCTGCCTCCAGCAGTGGCAGAGGAGAGTCCAGGGAGGGCTGTGTTGAGATTGCCTTGGATGGAACCCCTGGAACTGGGGCCCCAAGCCTCCCTCAGTTAGCGAGTCCGCGGCAGGAGGCAGGAGGCAGGGAGTCAGGCCTCAGCCTCGGGGCTGAGCCTCGTGCTCCTCACGCAGGAGTGCCGGCCCCCTCCCAGTCCTCCCCTGGGTGCCACCCTGCTCCCACCCTGGATCTCTCCCGCCTCATCTTCCCACCTCTGAGATGCGCTCCCCCTTTCCCGGTCCTTCCAGGAGGGGCTCCAACGTCTCCCTGACCCTGGACATGTGCACGCCAGGCTGCAGTGAGGAGGGCTTTGGCTATCTCATGTCCCCACGTGAGGAGTCAGCCCGTGAGTATCTGCTCAGCGCCTCCCGGGTCCTGCAGGCCGAGGAGCTTCACGAGAAGGCCCTGGACCCCTTCCTGCTGCAGGCAGAATTCTTTGTGAGTCCCCCTGAGCCAGCCACCCACAGCAGGCAGACCTTTCCACTCACCTCAGTCACGCATCTGGCCAGGCAGTGGTGCAGGGTGCCCAGAACCCGGCACCTCATAGACTACTGTCATTTCCTTATCAGCTCTCCCGCCGTCTTGGGCAAGCTGCTTCCCTTCTGAGCCTCAGTTTCCTCATCTGGAAAATGGGGATAAAAATCATTGGAATGTTGCAAGGATTAAGGAGATGGCTAACGTGTGCAGAGCACTCATCGCGGTGACTGGTGTCGGGTGGCATCCCCAAGTCCTTACTGCCCAGTACTATGCTTTGAAAGTGATGGAAAGCCTTCCTTCTGACTCTCCTGTTTTCCATCCCTCCTCCTGCCCCACATCTCTAAGCGTTGTTCATCTTCTGACAACTCTCCAGTCACCTCCCCACCCCAGACCCCTGCAGGAGCCTCCAGCTGCCTCCTGTTGGACTCTGAGGGACCCAATAAGTGACCTCTCTGCTTTGCCCACCTGAGCACTCAACCAGTCGTTAGCTAAGACGTAGGAGATGACAATATCACCTTTATTTTTGATGATGAAAGCTAAACTTGAAATGAGGCTTAGGTGCGTAGCAATAGTGAGCTTCCTGATACTAGGAGTTAAGTTTTCTACCCACCCCAGGTGGTGCACCCCTATATTTCTTTCTCTGCAGGAGGGTCCCCAAAGGAGGAGGAAGGAAGGGGCTTGGGCCCAAAAGTGCGTTCCTCACTCGAACTCACCCATTTGGTAACTCGCCCCCCAGTGTGGGCAGGAATGGGCAAGAGGCCATGAGTATTTGGGGAGAGTCCCCCCTGGGAGAAGCCAGGGGGATGGGGCAGCCATGTGCTTCCCTCAACTTCCCTTGCCCAGGCCACCTTGCCTCCTACTTGGACCTGATGGCTATTTCTTCTGAGAAAACCTCTGCCACTCTCCGACCCACTGCTCCATATTCTCCAGGGCTGGGCATGGCCGGTCTTAACCCAAGTTGGGCCAGCCTCCCACCCCTACAGGAACTGTCCGCTTCAAACTGGACACCACCCCAGGCCTTCCTCTTCCCGTGCCTCTACTCACATCATCCCCCCAATGGATGCTTCCAGAAAGCCTTCCTCAACCACCCCAGCCTCAGCTTTGCTGTGTGTTCCCATTACCCTCACCTCCCCTTGGAGAAAGGGCTTGCATCCTGTTTGGTGTTTCCTGTTCAGTAGATTGTTGTTGATTCTGTCCAGAGACAGAGGAACATAGCCTGTACCCTCACTCCATGGGCACTTTTGCACATCTCGGTTTTGGGGGGGCTTTTTTTGGATTCCCATAATAACCCTAGAAATTGAGTGTAGTGATCCTTGAAGCCCATACTTACTATGTCCTAAAACCGTGGACGCCGTGAACCTGTCTGTGGTCAGGCACTGAGAAGTGTGGGCCGGTGGAAGGGGGAGCGAAGAAGCCAGAGCCCCTGGGAAGTCACCCCAAGAAGAGTGGGGAGGGGGCAAGAGGGGATCTGAAAGCCTGGGAACTGTTTGGACAGATGGAGAAGGGTGGGACCAGTGCTCCCGACCCACAGAAAGTCAGAAGGAATGCTGGGAGCTCAGACTTGGAGGCAGGAGGGCGAGGGGCACGTTCACAGCAGGGAAGAGACTGGCATGTAATTGGAGAGCGGGTCCCCGAGAACAGCCCTGGGGAAAACAAAGACCAGATCCCAGGCCACCTCGCGTGCCAGGCAGAGGACTTTGGACCTGGGGCTTTTAACACAGAGCGTAATTGGGAGGCACAAACACATCCCTGGGGACTCAGAAGGAGGCTTCTTTCCTGCTGGAGCATTGGGGAAGGCTTCTTGGAGGAGGTGGCATTTAAGGTGGACAGGAGACAGGAACAGGAAGGACGGGGTGGATGTTCCCACAAAGGGAGCCGCACAAGCGGAGCTCCTGGAGGTGGGAATGCCCAGGGCAGGAACTCGGATCAGCAAAGCCACTCGGGTTGGCCGCGGCGCCGGGAGTGTGATAGAAGGCAGTGATTGGCCAGGTCACTTTTTCTCTTGTTCCTTGTTCATCAGCCATTTATTGAGCATCTACTATGCGCCAGGCTGGCCCCGGATCAACAATCGTAATGGTAACAGTTATATACTCACTATGTGCCAGGCCCTGTCCTAAGTGTTTTTTGTGTGCACTGACTCGTTTCCTAGTAAGCGTTCACTGAAGGAATGCATGCACCCCAGCAAACATGGACTGGACTAGACGCCCACCAGCGCCGGAGTCAAACTTCTGTGAGAGGCAGCCCCCAGCTGCTAACACCCCCATGTCCTCCTCTTGCAGGAAATCCCCATGAACTTTGTGGATCCAAAGGAGTATGACATCCCTGGGCTGGTGCGGAAGAACCGGTACAAAACCATCCTTCCCAGTGAGTACTCACTGCCCCAGGGGGTGGGGACAGGCTCACCCTCGCCTCGCTGCCCCTTGCCCTGAGGAGGACCTCAACCCCAGAGCTAGGCCTCCAGGGTCACGAGGAGAAGAGAAAGAGGGTTGTGGGTACCCAGGGAAGGGAAAGGACCCCCCTTGTGAGGGCGGGAGTGAGTTCACTCCTTCACCCTTGTCCTGGCTATGCTCGGCTCTGGAAACTCAGAGGAAGAATGAGGATCATAGCAGCTCCTAGGCAGGAGTTCAGAGGCCTCTTTATCTCTTCGGAGATAGAGATAAAATCACTATTTTAAAGAGGGGAAGATTTTAAAGAGGGGAAAATAAGGCTCAGAGAGGTTAAGTGGCTCATCCACAATCACACAGCTAGGAAGCACAGAACTGAGTTTCAATCTGGGCCTCTTTGACCCCGGAATCGGGCTCTTTTGTCTACCTTGAGTCGAGTTTGGTCAGACTGAGTCCTCTAACAGGAAGAACCACCCCCACAAGGAAATGAGCTGCCCGTCAGATGGTGAGCTCCCCGTCACTCGAGGTGTTCAAGTGAAGCTGCATGATCAGTCCCCTGGCAGATCTGAGAGGGATTTTCCCCCTTCGAGGGCAGTTAGACCAGGTGCCCTAATGTTCCTCTTTCAGCCCTGGGGTGTCGTTTTCAGATAACTTTCATCAAGCCCCTGTCTGCCTGTCACCCCTGCCAGGTTCTGGCCCCAGGCCCCAGGGCCGGCTTAGGGGGTGACTTGTTGAAAGTGAATCCCCACCAACCTACTCCACTCAGTTTGTGGAGTAACGAGGCTTTAAAAAAAGCAGTTTTGCCATCAGCATCTCCAACAACATGTAAGATGTCATGACTTATTTTTAACTTTTAAAATATCGACTTGTGGTTGCTATGGTTACACCATCTCTAGGTAGTTCCGGTTAAACAAAGCACCATTTAAGGCCAGGATGCATTATTCAGGGCTGCTCACCTCTTTCCTCGTCTTGTCACCCTCCAACCAACCAGCCCCCTGTGGCAGGAGGGGCTCAGGTCCCACGGAACCCAGGGCTTTGCTGCTCACTCAGAATGGTCCCTGGGGGAGGGTGGGAGCCAGGCCACCACTCCTCCTGGCCCCCACTGGGTTGCTGAGAGGCCTTGAGCCACTTCAACCATGCTCTGAGCCTCCAGGCCCTGGGGCCCCACAGAGCATCGTCCGTGGCCGGCAAGAATGGACCCTGTGCCTCAGAGACTCGGACCAGCGCGGGGGTGTGTGGGACAGAGGGCGTGTCGGACGTGACAGAGGCCTGCCAGATCCAGGACACCCTGAAGCTTGTTCTCTCATTCATTTGGCACACATCTGCTGAACCCTGCCCCAGGGACTGGGGATTGAGGCATGAATGAGACACAGGGAGTTCACAGTCTAATGGAAGAATCAGAGCCATGGGCAGTTAATAGGACAGAGTGACCAGTAACCAGCTGACAGCACTGAAGACAAGATATGGGGGAGCAATTGCTGTCCATTTGCCACTGTGCCCCAAGTACCAAAATAGGGCCTGGCACATGGTAGACATTCTGCTCCTATTTGAATGAGGGAGGAAAGGAAAGGAAAAAGGAAAGGAAAGGAAGGAAAAAGGAAAGGAAAGAAAGGGGGAAGGAAGGAAGGAAGGAAGGAAGGAAGGAAGGAAGGAAGGAATGTCTCTCAGATCAGCTCTCCCTCTCCATCCTCACTGCCATATGACTTTTGGGGGGTCAGGGCACCTATATTGCCCAGTCCCAGGGGCACATTGGCATAGACTGCATTGACATAAGGCCCCTGGAGTTGTGCCAGGCAGTAATCTCCTGACGGGTCTCCTGAGTCCTGTACTCCCCCCCCATCCTTCATCTACCGTTATCACAGAAATGGTGCAAAACAGAAATCCATTTGTGTCCTTCTCCTCCTTAAACACTGTCATTGTCACCCTTGGTAATCCTCGGGTTTCGATAAGCCTGATTTATAAGACCCTCTGACAGCTGGTTCCTCTCCAGCTCATGGCTCCATCCCCCACCCTGCCCTGTGCCCTGGAATCGGACAGAATGGTGTTCCCTACTCCTGTTCCTACTGGGCCTTCACACCCAGCCCGGTTGCTGTCAGACCACCCACTGCTTGCCTGCCTGCAGTACTTGGGGACAGGGACCCTGTCTTGTTTGTTGGGGAGTCCCTACCCTCGGGCACAGCACCAGGCACAGAGGCAGTACTCAGGAGGGTCACTGTGCCCACAGTGGTTCTTTAATGCCAAAGGCCCTGGCGTCTGGCCCGAGGGTGCTGTGCCCACTTCTGGCCCCTGAGCTGGGCAGGCACTGACAAGAAGCGAGCCGGCCCCTCAGCACTCCCTGCTCCTTTCTTCTGCCCGCCACCCAGCGTCCCCTGCCCTTCCCCTCCCTTCTCTGCTGCCTGGCCCCCAGATCAGCTGCCAGGACCTCAGGCCTTGGGGCTGGGCATGAAAGGGCTGGAGAACAGAGGCTTGTGAGTGTCACCTGCTTTTCCTCCCTGGTTTGGGATCCTCTCTGGGAACTTTCTAGGGAAGCTGGTAATAATGGCAGTCCTAACAGCTCTGTGCTACGTGGTGTGTGCTGGGCTCAGTTACTGGTCTCGAGTTCCACTCGCTCCTTTCACCTTTACAAGACGAGCAGGGCTAGGATGGAAGGGGTGTCCCCAGTTCGTAGACGCGGCACGGGGAAACTAAGCTGACACTGCCAGCAAGTCACAGCAAATCACAGCATCAGGACTCGAACCTATGGAGAGCCCCAGCCTGGGTGCTGGAAGCATCTTCAGTTCAACCCTCCCTATTCGGGAGAGAAGGGGATGGGACAGGGAGCTGGTGACAGAGCCAGAGCAGGAGCCAGGGCCCCGGGCCCCCAGCCACCTCCCTGCCCCATGCCGCGCAGCCTCCCCCGTCTCCGTCCCAGCCCCTGCCCCGAGAGAAGAGTCCATTCAGGGAGGTTCTAGCTGGAACAAAACAGATTCTACTCCAGGGAGAGGTGCAGGGGGCTGTGAGACTCTGTAACTGTGGGACTGGACATGTGAATAGATTGGAAAAAAAGATAAAAAGCCGTTTGTCCACTGCCTCTGCTGCCGCGGCCCTGCTGTTGGATCGCAGGCGTGGAAGGCTCCACGCCCCCCACCCCTGTGCTCTCCCTCGGCTTTCTACCCCCAAATCCCAATAGCCCTTTGTATTTATAAAGTACTTTACGGTTTACATCACACCTTCCCAGCTGTTTTCTTATTTATCTTCCCAACAACCCTAGGAAGTAGGCAGCTTTACCCCCGGATTACAGCTAGGAAAATTGAGGCTTAGGAGGGCCGTGTGTTTTTCAAGTGGGCCCAGCATATCAGGGACCGTGTGCATCCAAACGCTTGCTGCCCCTGCTGCCCGGGATGCGTGCCCTAGGTCGTTCTTTTCTTGACTTAGCTCTGCCCTCTCCAGAACATGAGGCACAGGGAGCCCGGGGAAGCTTAAGGGACACAGGCAGGGGGCAGACACTGATGCTACGGAGGGGGAGAGCCAGGGCCACGGAGATGGGCCAGTGTTTTGCTAGTGGGCAGGAGAAGGAGGAACTTCAAGAATCCCAGAAGAAATGCGGGTGCCCTGCAGTGGGCCAGAGAAGATGGGCCCTGCCCTAGAGGGGTTGTTGCACCTGTCAAATACCGGCCTCACCTGTCTCCCCCCACCCCAGACCCCCACAGCAGAGTGTGTCTGACCTCACCAGACCCTGACGACCCTCTGAGTTCCTACATCAACGCCAACTACATCCGGGTACGTAGCCCCATCCAAGTGACCTCTCCCTGAAAGGGAGGCCCGAGCCCACAGGATCCATCCTCCCGGCTTGTCCCTAAGCCAGCGTGGCTCCTGCCAGCACCCCCGGGAAGGGCCTGAGTGTGGGGACTGGGCCCAGGGAACACGGTGTCCGACCCTGACAGCCTGGGCTTGGCTGGCCGCAGGGCTATGGTGGGGAGGAGAAGGTGTACATCGCCACTCAGGGACCCATCGTCAGCACAGTCGGTGACTTCTGGCGCATGGTGTGGCAAGAGCACACGCCCATCATCGTCATGATCACCAACATCGAGGAGATGAACGAGGTAGGCACCCCTGTGCTGTTCCCAGGTGTCTGCCGCTTTGTGCCCTTTGCTGAGCATCTGTTTCCATATTAGTCCTGACAACAGTCTTGGGAGGTTGGGAGCCTGTGGCCAAGGAGGGGAGATGGGAGGCCGAGCAGGGTTAGGTCATCTGCTCAGGGCCAAGGAGATGGGCCGACCTGCGGAAACATGCACTCTGCCCCCCGCCCCCCTGCCAGGGCTCGCTCTGGCGGCTCCTGTGCCCGTGCCAGGCCAGCCCAGTTAATCGAATCCCCAGAAGAGTCCTTCGAAGTAGGTATTCCATTTTCCAGATGAGGGACCTGAGGGTCAAAAGGGGCATTTGAACCCAGCGCTCTCTGACTGCAAACCTGTTGCCCTTTTATATTTTGCCCCTCTGGCCCTGGTGGGGCACTAGGGAGACTGGGGATGGGGGGGCACTGGGAGTGTATGCAGCCTGCTCTGGGTCCCTGCAGAAATGCACTGAGTACTGGCCGGAGAAGCAGGTGATGTACGACGGTGTGGAGATCATCGTGCAGAAAGTCATTCATACTGAGGATTACCGGCTGCGACTCATCTCCCTTAGGGTGAGGCCAGGGGCTGGGCTGGGCTGGGAGGATGAGGGACAGGGTCATGACTGGGGACGCCACAGATAACGGCGTCCAAGAGTCCACAGTGGCTGAAATCCAGGCCTGTGCCTTCTCAGGATGTACCGATAAGCAGGGATGAGCGAGGGTAAAGGGACTTGAGGGCCAGAGGCAGGATGAAACCTCAGCTGCATTTAATGCTCTTGGATTCTCTGTCTACACTGTCGTTCTGAATGCCTTCCAACTCTGCTTCAGATACACTCAAGTCCAGGACTGCCTGGATAAGGGATCTCCAACAGCCTCCAGCACTGTCCTTATTCAAACGGAAGGTCCGTTGGTAACGTTGAGACCCTGTAGTGTGCAATCCGTCCACCAGAGGGCAGGCACTCCTTGCTGCATTTGGGTTTCACAGGGAAGTGATGCTTACACAAAAAGGGAAAAAAAGGCATATAATATATGAGCAATACAAAACATCCCAGAAGAAGGGGGGAAGGTATCCTCCCACCCTGAAGTTGTGCTTCTTCCAGGCTCAGCATAATAGAGGAGGTTGTTCCTTTGGAGTCAGGAGGATTAATGGGTTCCGTTTTTGAGAAATAAGACCCATGTTCCGGGAAGGGAGAGCCCAATGTAATAACCCCACAGGTTGGAAGAGGTGAGCCAGGCACCAGGAAGCTGTGCTCTAACCAGAAACAGTCAGAAGCCTACTGACACTGGCAGCTTCAGGGTCAAACTCAAGGCCTGAGACTTGTCCCTCTGAGCTGCCCTTTCCCACTGGAGAAGGTAGAAGGTGGGGTGTCAAAGCACTCAGGCCCGGAAGGGCAGTGGCCACCTGAGCAGCTCTGAGATCTAGGCCTTGCTGGGGGGGCATGAGAGGGCCGGGAGGTGGGGGCAGAGGCTCTGGTAGCCGTCACAGCCAGATAACCTAGGGGCCCAAGGAACCAGCTTTCTGCTTCCCTGGAAAGAGGCTGAAGTGGGGTGAGGGCTACCTCATTATCTCAGTGCCATGGGACAGCTTGTCCCTGGGTCTTTACAAGCGCCTGCCCTAAGCCTCATTCTGGGTTGGGTACTGGGAACACAGAGCTATCCAAAGCCTGGACTCTCTCCTAAAGGAGCACCCACAGATGGTAAGTACAAAGCTAGAGATAGGCAAGAAGACAGAAGACGGACACTCTGTTAGCCAGGGTGCTCAGGGAGGGCTTCCTGGAAGTGGTGGTGCTGACTGGGGTTTTGCGGGATGAGTAAGAGTTGACTGGCGGGCAAACAAGTGGGAAGAACATTCCAGGCAGAGGAAAAAAAGAAAGAAAGAAAGGCATGAAAGAGAGAATAGCCGTGAGACTGTGGGGGAGGGGGGGCAGAGGTTTTATCTACAGACCATTTGGAATGCAGGAGCATTGAATACGAGTATACAGGGCTAGGAGAAGGGCCTGGAGGGCTAGACCCTGGACAATGGGTCTTATTTGCCAGACGGAAGACTGAGAAGAATGGGTTTTATTCGGAGAGAAGCAGGAGCCCTGAGAGGGTTCTGAGCAGGAGAGCGGCGTGTCCAGACTGGTGCTGCAGACAGAGCCCGCCTGACCGCGGTGGGGAGGGGGCCGTCAGGGAGGAGTGAGAGATGGCGGAGATGGTAAGGGCCAGAATGGAGGTGGTACTGGAGGAGAGGAGAGAAAACTGACAAGACTCGCTGGGGGTGGGCAGGCGGAGCAGGGCGGTGATGGGAGAGGGGGAGTCCTGGTGCTCGGCGCCATGGGACTAACAGGTGACTGGGCGGCTTGTAAAGATAAGGAACCAGAGGACAGGAGTGGATTGGAGAGGGACTCTCTGCCTCCCTTGGATGATCCTGGAGTTGTTGGGGCAGAACTGACCAGTGAAGACCAGTACCTGTGTCACCGACCAGCTTCCACCAGCAAGCTGGATTTGTGTCTCTGATGCCACTGAGCCATATATGGTGTAGACAGCAGAGGCCATCGGTCCCTCTCCCTGGGTGCTCCTCGCTGTGTTCTTGCCACTCCCATCCCATCTCTGGGCTGGTTTGTGGGCTCTAAGCGTTCACATGTCCCTGCGGTGGGTCTCTGTCTCCTGGACAGAGCGGGACCGAAGAGCGAGGCCTGAAGCATTACTGGTTCACGTCCTGGCCTGACCAGAAGACCCCCGACCGGGCGCCCCCACTCCTGCACCTAGTGCGGGAGGTGGAGGAGGCAGCCCAGCAGGAGGGGCCCCGCTGTGCCCCGATCATCGTCCACTGCAGGTGGGTCCTCGCAGCCGGCCCCCTGGGCAGGGCGGCCTCCCTACTCCCAAAGCCGCCCCGTTCCTTACCCCGGTGTTCCTTCCGCTCTCAGTGCGGGGATCGGCAGGACGGGCTGCTTCATCGCCACCAGCATCTGCTGCCAGCAGCTGCGCCAGGAGGGCGTGGTGGACATCCTTAAGACCACATGCCAGCTTCGTCAGGACAGGTCAGCCCGGGCGCACGGGGCGCACGGGGCACCGGAGTCCGGGGGCGGCAGGGCTGAGGGGCCGGGGCACACGCTGCCGATGGACAGCCTGGCAGAGAGGGCGTGGAGAGGACGCGTGGGGTGAGCTGGGTCCGGACAGCTGGGGGCCTGACGGGGAGGGAAAAGCAGCATGGCTGGTGAGCAGAAGGGGGCGCTGGGGGTGGAGGGACCTGTCATCCCTGTCCCTGCTCTCCTGTCCGGGCGGAGCTGGGAGGGGCAGGAAGGAGCAGAGAAGCGTGGCTGGCAGGGAGGGCAAGACGAGGCCCCTCGCGAATGACTGGTAGTCAGTGGTTTGGGGGCCCCCCCCACAGCCCATCCGTCCACAGCCCCATGTCCCCCGTGTGTCTCTGCCCCCAGGGGCGGCATGATCCAGACATGCGAGCAATACCAGTTTGTGCACCATGTCATGAGCCTCTACGAGAAGCAGCTGTCCCGCCAGCCCCCAGAGTGACCGCACTCCTGCCCTGAGGTCCTCTGGGCACCACCCAACCTGAGTCTGGGCCCCCACCCTGGCCACATGCAGAGCCCTGCCTCGGTCCTGGCCTGCCCCGCCCCCCCGCCGCCCCTCCTGCTTCCTTCTCTTCAGTCTGCTCCTTCCCTCCCTCCTTCCCTCCTGCGTCAGCCTTGGCCTGGCCCCTGCCCCCCCCAACATAGCTCTTCCTACTGTACATACTGGGGCGGGGGGGCGGGGTGGGGGACGGATGTGCCAGGCCAGGCCTGGGGCCCCGGGGCCTGACCCCTGCCATGCAGACCTGGGGCCTCAGTTTTTAACGATGGTTCCATTGCTACCTGATCCAAAACGTTTCTGTGCCGCACTCCAAGCGTCTTGCCGCAGCGTTTCTGTCTGTCCATCCATCTCTGCTATCTGTACCGGACACTGTGTCTCCTCAGCCCGGGAAAGGGGTAATGAGCTCCAGCCCCAAAGCAGCCCAGGCAGAGGTGCCTGCCTCGGGCCCCCACCCCCACTTCCCACGCAGCAGATTGCATTTTGCCCCAGTTCTGGGGACTGGGATGGGGAGCTCCTGAGGAGTTGGTGGAGAGATCTCAGCTGGGGGGAGAGGTCTCCGGGTTGGGGTGGGGGGGAGGAGTGTCACAGCAAGGGTGACCTCGTGGTGTCAGATGCCCTCAGGAGGCAGTGACCAGCCTGTGAGGCACTGGGGGGGAAGGGGACAGAGGGGGGCTGTGAACCCAGAGGACCTGGGCCCCAGTGGGGGTGGGAGAAGGGGGAGCTCTGAGGGTGGGGTGGGGTTTGGGCCCCAGATCTGTGTGAAACGTTTCTCTGTGTCCCTGTGGGAAAGCCTTCCCAGCAGTCTCGCTGCGTGTCGCCCTGCGTGTTCCTGTGTCCATGCGTGTGTTGAGAGCCCGGCAGCAGGGCATGCATGACTCTTGGCAACATGTGTTATCTTGGAGCCACGTGTTTTTATTGCTGACTTTAAATATTTATTCCACGGCAGACAGAGACATTTGGTGTCTTTTTATAATTTGCTCGTGGTCATTGAATAGAGCAATAAACGGAGCATTTTGAGCAAAACTAGCCCCCTGGGTCTGTGTGATTGCCTCTCCCCTCCCTGCCTCCCTGTAACCTGGTTTTTGTGCACCCTCTACACACACACACACACACACACACACACACACTCTCTCTCTCTCTCTCTCTCTCTCTCTCTCTTTCTCTCAAGCTCCCTGGTGCCCCCTGTGCAGATTGGAAATTCAGACCAAATCCATTTGATTTTGGCAGGAGTCTCCTGCACCACCCTCCTCCCCAACCCATCTGGGAGCCCTGGACCATGAGGAGCCTCAAGGACAGGTGTGGGGAGGCTTCCAGAGAAGGCAAAGTGTCTAGCAGGCCACCAGCTCTGACAGATGGGCCAGAGAGGCCAAAGCTAGGGCAGGGAGACTTTCAGGTCACACCTAGGCCCCTCCCTGTTGGCCCACCCACTTATCCCCGTGAGCCTTACAGGTCCCAACAGCAGCTGCAACCTGGAAATTTCCCTTGTAAGGCCTGGGCTGAGAGACTCTCCCTAGGGGCCCAGAGTCTCTGCCCCAGGGCTCAGGTCCTGAGCCATACCAGACACTCCTGCACTATTCTTACCCCTGCCCTCAGGGAGGCAGCAAAAGTAGCTGTGATGCTGTTGCTGGCAGGTGGGGTCACTCCAGGGCATGGGAGGGTCCAGGGCAGGGCTGCTGACCAACCAGTGGGTCGTTGTGAGGTACCAGCATTTTGTGTGGGTTGGTCGAGGGTCCGCACACACAGCTGTGCTACAGACAACGAGGAAACAACAGGGAGAAGCTTGAACACAGCTGGGATGCAGGTCCCGAGGCGGCTGGGGGGGGGGTGCTCTCCAGCCATGGAGGGTGGGCCTCCTACCCTCTACCCAGATGAGGTTTGAGCTGTAGGAGTGGGAAGGAGGAGGGGAGCTAACAGTTCTATCTCCTCCCCCAGGGTGGCCCTGGGAGGCCACTCAAGCTGTGCGGGCACCAGACTACGAGAATGGTGCCCCTGGATTTCTGCAAAATGGCCGACTTCCTTGACCCCCCCCCGCCCCACTGGCCTGTGGGCACATGTACATATGCGTGTGTATGTGCCTGCGCGCGTGCACACACACACACACACTGCCCTGAGCCCCTAGGCACCAGCAGTGAGAACCGAAACCTCTGCCAAGAGGGAACAGGAAAAGTAACCTGGACCACCGCCCTCAGACTCCTGCCCACATGCCTGGTCCCCAGCATTTCCTCCAGCCTTGACTCTAGCCTCCCTTCCCCCACTCTCCTCCCCCCAAAGCAATGTGCCAGTCTAGCTGGGGCAGCTGTGGAGCCTAAGTAAGGGATCGCCCCCAGGGGGCCAGACATTTAAGGAACCCGTGACTCCTGGTGGCTCCACTGTTGGGGCAAAAGAAGAAGGAGACCGGCCTGCCGATAGCCCAGGCATAGCTGCACCCCCAAAGCCGTGGACACGGCATTCAAGGGTTAAGAGGAACTGGTCACACAAAGGTAAGGCTCCCCTCTTTCCTTAAGAAGGGGGCAGAGCCTGCTACCTTCGAAGCCCAGAGCAGGACGGCCAGAGTAACCCAACTAACGTGAGTTTGCTCCTCCGTGAGTCATAGGTAGAAACTACACCAGGTGAGTTGTTGCACAAAGGAAACTTCATTTGCAGCAAATAAGGAGATCGTGGGGAATAACTTCCAAAGCTGTGACTCACCGAGCAAGGGCGAGTGGGTTTCTTTTACTGAGGGCTAGGATGAATATTTAGATAGGGGAGCCTTGTCGTCCTGTGTCGAGGGCAGGCGTAAGGTCCTTACGGAAACATGTTCACACGTACATTGTATGTCATGTAAAGCAGGCTCGTGCTCCGTCTTGGGTGGAGATTGTAGTGTTCTGTTGAGGTAGAGGTAACCGTGGGTCACTCCGCGGTCCATCTGTGCAGGCGAGAGTCGGGGGTTGAGCTCAGACCGGTCTGGGCCGCCTGAGCTGACAGAGCCCCAGTCCAGGCAATGGTTACTGCTTGAGGGGTAGTTTCGGTTTCCATCACGGGATGTTAGGCCCTTCGGGTCTTTTGCCTGAGTGAAGAGATAAGCTGGAAAGAAGAGCTTAAGGAAAAATGTGGGACAGAGTTTGGGTACAAGCAGGTGAGTAAAGGTCAGCTCTTGGGGACTAGGTGGTGACAGTTTTAGAGCTCAGAGGTGGAAGCAGGCCAGGCAGAGATCTGTCATAGCAGGGAGGTGAAGCTTAGCCTCGAACTGGCTTAGAACCAGGCTTTTGGGTCCCTTAGGAGGGCAGTGGACTGGGAGTCAAGAGGCCAGGATTCTAGTCTCAGTGGCCTCCAACATGTGATTCCTCTCAGACATCAGTTTCTTTCATATGGAAAAACTGCCATGCTGGTTAAATAAAAATGCAACATCCCTCCGTTGAAACACTGTGTAGCTGTTAGCAAGAATGAGGACCGTGTTTATGAACTGGTTTGGAGAGATCTCCAAGATGTATTAAGTGAAAAAGAAAGGGCTGAAGAGTGTATATAGAAGGGCTCCCTGAAGTGCAAAAAGGGGCTGAGGGTAAAAACATATTCGTGTTTGCATGAAGGTGCTCCAGAAGGAGCCGAGAGGCCACAGTGCTTACATGTTGGGGGAGGATTAGGAGTCGGGGTCTCAGGAGTGGGAGGGGGCCTCTTCCTATAGATGTTTATATTGTTTTGTTAACTATGCGATTGAATTACCGATTTTTTTAAGAAGTATAGGACATGAAAACTCAACCTCTGTCTTTATCCAGTCACAAATGAAAGCAGAGCTGTAGACACAAGCTATCATCTGTCTCAGCATTCCACCAATGCCAGGGGTCCCCAGGGCTCAGGAGGAAAATCCCCAGCTTCCTTTTAAGGCGCACTGAAGTACGGCTTAGTCAGGAAGTTCCTTCTTAGGTCTGACTTCATTCCCTCCTGCTGAAATATCCAGCACCACCTCCCTTGTCCCATGTAGCTATCAATGTGTATCCTCAGCTCCCCCTGGGCCTAACTTGGTTCCCTGGGTAAATCTAAGCCCTACATTCTCGCCCCCTGAGACTTGGAATGGTTTGGGATTCCCTGGTGGGGAGGACAGGCCCACGGGTCCTTGTGACCATCCTGGGAAGGTGAGACATGAAGGGAGGAAAAGAGAGGCCAGAAAGAAGAGGCTTGCTGCCCTACTTCCCCTCACCCTCCTCTGTGCACAGCCATCTCCCCCTGTGTCCACCTGTCCTGTCCCTTCACACGCGCACGCACGCGCGCACACACACACACGCACACGCAAACAATAACCTCTCCGGATCTCTCTCCTATTCCCTTCCTCGTCCTTCATGGCCTCACCCTCTCCCTGGTCCTCCCAGGTGAGTGCCCACGCCTCCTGTCACCATGACGACCATTCACCACCAGCAGATGCTGCAGGAGCACGTGTCCATGGAGTTCTCCAGCTCCACCACCCACATGCAGACCTTCTCCCAGACAACCAAGATTGCGGGAGGCAAGTAGAGTGGGTGGGAGGGCTGACGGGGAAAAGGGCAGCCTTTCTTCTTCCACATCCACTCCCTGGGTGGCCTCAGGCTTTGTGAGTGCCGGGGGGGGGGGGGGGGCCCTCAGGAGCCCAAGATACAAAGAGCAACCCTCTCCTAATCTGTGCTTTGATAAAGCTTCAGCCAGTGGGATGTTTACTCACAGATCAGATCTTCTGGAAAACAGCTTAGGAAAGTCAACCCCGTGAATGTGTATGAGTGATTGATGAGCTTAATTGCTTGAGGAGATAGGGTCACAGGCAGATGGATGTATCTCTGATGGCAGAATTGCAGGCACAGAGGAAGTCAGGGATCTAGATCTGAGTAATGCTGACCCTGCTCCACTTCAGAAATAGGAGATTTGGAGCCGTCAGTGGAGAAAGGATGAACACATAAACAAGTGACCTAAGCTTCCAGGCTCTCAACCCTTGGGGACCAAACCTGGGGGACAGCAGATCCAAGGGAAAGCTGAGAAATGGTCTCAGAGCAGAACAGATTGTTTTAGTCACGTCTCTGGTGGAAAGTGATTAAAAGATGGCCAGGGGCCAGGATATCCAATATCTCCTCCCAGTCACTGCCCCTCCCTCAAAGTCCTGGAGGGATAGGGTCCTTCCAACTCCTCTGTGCACAGAGGTCAGGGCCAGATGAACGCTCTATACCAACTCCTGCTGGTCAGTGAGGCAAGGCAAGGAGAACGGCTGGGACGTGAGACCAGAAGTTGCAAACTTCAGTGATTATAGCAGTGACTCTCAGCCCTGGCTGCACATTAGAATTATCTTAGTGTAGCAGGCAGAGAGGAAGGGGAATGAAAAAGGAGCAATACAGAAGTCTGACTCAACTGCTAAATCAGGTGTGTTTTTGTTTGTTTGTTTTTCAAGCTCTCCAGAGAGTCTAGCATGCAGCCAGAGTTTAAAACCACTGGCCAACAGGGTCCGGGCAGGGAATGTAAATGCAGAAAAGAGACAGAGGTGAATGGCAGAGGACATGCCCCACCTAGAGGGGCCCCCACTAGTCGCTGCCCACTGACCGTTGCCGGATGGGAGTATGAGCTCAGAGCTGAGAATCCAGAAATCTGAACTTTTATGTGAAATCTCTCAATTTTTAGATCTAGGGCTCCTTTTTGTTTAACCATTGACTAGGTCAAATAACACACATCTGCAGGTCAGGTGCAGCCAGCACACTTTAAACGCAGTTTCTTAAGACATTTTTCACATCTCAGTCCTTCAGATTAGCGGGGATAATGAAGGCACCTGCTTCACAGGGGTATTGTGAGGATGAGATAAAATAACCTCTGAAATGTGTTTGGCACAGTTCCTGACCCAAGGAAAGTGCTCGGTGAATCAGAGCAATTGTTTTTAACTGTCAGCTCACCAGCCAACAAGATTTTCTGTAGTTTATGCTGAAAATACAACTTTTCATTTTCCAAATATAGAGTTACCCTACCACATTGAATATGCTCTCTCAGATAAGGAGATGCCCACATATAGCCCCTCTGGAGGGGGAATGTTTCCTGTCCCTCAC